GGGAAATACAGGGATATGGGGAAGGGGGCTAGGGCTGGGTGGATTGCTCTTGGGAGGATTGATGGGCTGAATGGCCTACTTTCACACTGTAGGGATTTAATGCTCCAAATGATGATGAGCCACCTTTGTATAAGGCTCTCCCCCTTCCCCACTCGTCAATACCAGAATGAAATGTCAAATTACCTCAGTTTGATTTTTTCGAATGTTTCTAGCCTCTGTTTGTGTTTTTCATTTGTATTAATTTTCTCTTTGATGAGGCTTGTTCATGGGCCACTCTGTGTCTCCTTTTCTCCGCTCCTTCTATTTTTCTTCATTTCACAAAAATCCTGGAGGTTTTTGGTGATCTCTGTGGTTGGCTGGGAAGAATCAGCATGGATTTGTTAAGGGGTAAAGTATTTAACTAAATTGCTGGAGCTTTTTTTTGAAGAGGCAACAAAAAGTCTTGATGAGGGTAACACTGTTCATGTGGTGTACATGAATTTCCAGAAGGTGTTCGATACAGTGCCACACCACAGGCTTATGAAATAAATTTGAAATAAAAGGGACAGTGCCAATGAGAATACAAAATTGGCTTTGCAACAGGAAACAGAGAGTAATGGTTAATGGACATTTCTGGGCTAGAGGAAGGTTTGTAGTGGGGTCAGTATTGGGACCCTTGATTTTCCTGATATATATTAGTGATTTAGATCTTGCTATGTAGGGGCAAATTCAAAGTTTGCAGATGACACAAAACTTGGAAGAATTGTAAACTGTGAGGAGGACAGTGTGGAACTCCAAAAGGACATTGACGCAATGGTGCAGATAGTTGGCAGATGATGTTTAATGTGGAGAAGTGTGAGGTGATGTATTTTCATAGAAAGGACATGGAGAGACAGTTTAAAATAGAGTGGTCTCTTCTAAAGGGTGTGGAGGAGCAGAGAGGCCCAGATGGATCCTTGCACAAATCATTGAAGCTTGCAGGACTAATGGAGAGCAGTTAATAAAGCACACTGTATTCTTGGTTTCATTGATAGCATCATACAGTAGAACAGTAGGGAATTTATGCTGAATTTATATAGAACACTGGTTGCACCTCAGCTAGAATGTTGTCTACAGTTCTGGGCATCACACTTTCAGAGGGATGGAAATACGTTGGGGAAGCACGCAGAAAGGCTTACAAGAAATGTTCCTGGACTTTCCGAGGTCTATGCTACTTCTGGAAGTTGAAACCAATGTGCTGGCAGTGATCAGTTTGTACAAAACCTCTGAGTGGGGATACAGCCGTGAGGCTTTGAGGGTATGTTGTTCACAAGAATAATTCAGGGAAGAGGATAGATTGGGAGAGGTTGGGACTGCTCTCTTTGCAGAGAGGAAGGCTGAGAGGAGATTTGATAGAAATTTTCAAAATTTCAAATAACTTTCTGAATAGAAACAAAATCAGAAATTGCTGGAGAAACTTGGCAGTTCTGACAACATCTGTGGAGAGAAAGCAGAGTTAATGTTTCAAGTCCAGTGACCCTTCGTTAGATTGTTCTCAGGAATGGATTGATATAGATGCTAAAGACAGGGCAATGGGAGGAGAAGGAGTAAATTATTCATGGAGATGGAGCCCAGAGACAGAAGAAACAGAGTTAGGCAGACAGAGGATTGGGTAATAGTCAGCCTGGGAGAAAGAAAAGCCACCAATGGTGGGGACTATTGGTGGTTGGAAATGGATTGGCTGTAATGATTATCACATGGTCTCTCACTGACGAGGATGACTCTGTCCCACTCTCAGCATGCGTCCATTGGTGACTGTACAGGCTGATGTGGCTACCGCAGGCTCCGTTACACTTGGGGCAGAAGGTGGTCGCGGGAAGGGGTGGGTGGGACGTTGGCGTGCTCCTTACACTGTTTCCGCTTTTTCCTAACATCAAGTCTCGAGGTGCTCAATGCCTTCCCAGATGGTCCTCCTCCACTTTAGGCCGTCTTGGGCCAGTGATTCCCAGGCATCTGCAGGAATGCCACACTTTGCCAGTGAGGCCTTGAGGGTATCACCTAAGCACTTCCTCTGTCCACCTGGGACTCACCCACTGTTTTGAAACTGGGAGTAGAGTACCTGCTCGGGGAGTCGCACGTTGATCATGCAGACGACGTGCCCCGACCAACGTAGCTGATCAAGGATGGTCGGTGGTTCGAGGCTGGGGATGTTGGCCTGGTCAATGATGCTAGGTTGGTGCATCTTTCTTCCCAGCGGATTCACAGCAGCTTGCACAGGCAGTGTAGATGGTACTGTGCCAGTGCCTTGCGGTGTCTGCTATAGACAGTCCATGTCTCAGAGCCATGTAGAAGGGTAGGATCCACCACAGATCTGTATACCATGTAGGAGGGTGGGATCTACCACAGATCTGTATACCATGATCTCGGTGTTGGATCTGATGTTGTTGTTCTCAAACACCTTTTTCTCAGGTGGTCAAAGGCTACAATAGCACAGTGCAGGCGGTGCTGGGTCTCTTCACCAATTGCTGCTTTGGCCGACAGGACACTCCCGAGATATTGGAAAGGGTCAATGTTCTCTAAGGCCTCCCTATGGACTTGATGATCAGGATTTGCTCCATATTGCCAGGCCTGGTTGATGAAGGAACTTTGTTTTGTGGATGTTTTGGGGTAAGACCCCATATGCCTCTGTAACGGTGCTGATGATGGTCTGGAGTACAGCCTCTGACATTGCGCATACACAAGCATCATCCACATAGTGCAGCTCAGTGCCACTGGTTGGGGGTGACTTTGGTTTTTGCTTGAAGGTGGTGGAGGTGGAATAACTTCCCACTGGTTCTGTAGGTTAGCTCCATTCCAGCAGGGAGCTTGTTGGTGGTCAGGTGAAGCATTGCAGCGAGACAGATCGGGGACAGTGCTGGGGTGATGACGCAGTCCTGCTTGACATCGGTCCGATGGGGAATGAGTTGGTAGTAGAGCCATTTGTCATTACCATGGCTTCCGTATTGTCTTGAAGCAGGTGAAGGATGGTGACTTCATGGTACAACCAAAGCAGAGAAGGACGCTCCATATGCTTCCTGATTGACGGTGTCAAAGGCCTTTGTAAGGTCAGAAGGCCACATACAGGATAGGTTCTTTTCTTTGCATTTCTCCTGCAGTGGCACATGGTGAAAATCACGTCTGTTCTGCTCCTCTGTGGCCGAAAGCCACGCTGCAATTCCAGAAGGAGCTTCTCAGTCACAGGGAGGAGGTGGTTGAGGTGGGTCTTGGTGATGACTTTTCCAACGGTTGGCAGCAGGGAGATTCCCCTGTAGTTACCACAGTTGGACTTGTTTCCTTTCATGAAAATACTCACGACTGTGGCATTGTGGAGCTCTCCCAGGATGCTCTCCTCCTTGTGGATAAGGTAGAAAAGGGCATGTAGGCTGCAGCGGGAGTGTTTTGCCTCCACACTTCAAAGTCTCAGTCAGGATACCATCTGGTCTAGCAACCTTGTTGTTCTTAAACTGGTGGATGACCCTGTCTGCTTCACGCAAGGCTGGGGCGTTGGTCAGCTCGTGGTGTGTAGCTGTGGGATGCACTTGGATTGACAACAGAGCCCTGGTTGAGGAGGTCTCTGTAGTGGCTGTGGTGAACAGAGAATCTGAATAGAATGGATCAGGACAAACAGTTTCCACTCATAAAAGAATCAAGAATAAGTGGTTACAAACAGTAAAGTAACTACATGTGAGGTAACAAAACAATATTTCTCACAGCAACAGCTTCAAAATGTGGTGGATTGAGGCAGGTTCAATTCAGGCTCTCAATTTCCACAGTGTGGGGATATGGCCAATAGAACTAAGTTAAAATGTCAGAGACAAAAACAGAAGTTGTTGGAAAAGCTCAGCAGGTCTGGCAGCATCTGT